CGCCTTTTTCTATAGGCATTGTGATGTCTCTCTCATTCCTCTGTTGAAACTTCACCAATCAACTCTGTACGAGATTGTTGGATTTTAACCCTTAAAAAGTGTTCTTGGCTAATCTCGTTGATCTTCTTTTGCTAATAATAGGGGTACTGTAGTAAACTAAATATAAACGATAAATCCTATACAAATAAATAAATACCTTGCACTTTAGCCCAAAAGCCTCCTGCGAAGGAAGAACCTCCATTTTGTCCTGCCTCCCCCTCCAATTTCCCCTCATCTCCCTCCAGAGTGTGCCATTCTAGGAATGAGCCCAACGCCACTGAGGGAGCTGTGAATGAATAGGATATTTTTAGGGCTGCTATATGTCCGGATTTTCCCAGACATTACCAGAATTTCCAAAAGGCGGCACTTTGTTCTGGATCTTAGACAAGTCAAAATCATGGCTTTTTTGTATTAAAAAGGGGGCATAAATTTGGGGGGATTCCTTAAAAATAAAGCTCTACAATTTCAGTGGTTTCCTAAAGGCTGTCCTGGTTTTTTACTTTTTGAAATATGGCAACCCTGGGATATTTATTTACTTATTGTAATGCGGGTTTCTGCTGCAGACCCGATCCAAACCAGCATGCTAGCGGTAGGGGGCAAAGGGTTAACCCTCCCTCCTAACCCCTGTGCTAGGGTCCCAAACCAGTTCAGAAGCCCTGTCACTTTATGACACCATTACACGGTGAATGGATCAGCAGATTTGCATCCCCTCCAAGTGTCCCAATTTTCCAGGGACATTCCTGGAATGGTGAAAGCCATCCCAGCTTCGGATTTGACCCCGGAGTGTCCCTAGTTCCCCTGCCAGAGTTGAGCTAATGATGATGATGATGATGATGATGATAATAATAATAATAATAATAATAATAATAATAATAATAATAAATTGCTTATACCCCCGTCCATCTGGCTGGGTTTCCCCTAGGCCACTCTGGGCGGCTCCCAACAAGAGATTAAAAATCCATTAAAACACCAGTCATTAAAACCTTCCCTAAACAGGGCTGCCTTCAGATGTCTTCTAAAAGTCAGATAGTTGTTTATTTCCTTGACATCTAGTGGGAGGGTGTTCCACAGGGCGGGTGCCACTACCAAGAAGGCCCTCTGGCTGGTTCCCTGTAGCTTTGTTTCTCGCAGTGAGGGAACCACCAGAAGGCCTTCGGTGCTGGACCTCAGTGTATGGGCTGAACGATGGGGGTGGAGACGCTCCTTCAGGTCTACTGGGCTGAGGCCGTTTAGGGATTTAAAGGTCAGCACCAACACTTTGAATTGTGCTCAGAAACGTACTGGGAGCCAATATAGGTCTTTCAAGGCTGATGTTATGTGGTCTTGGCAGCTCAGGGAGGAGGAGAGCAGGCGCTTGTCCCGAGCAATGGTGGTGGCGGTAGTGACGGCTGCGAGGGAGCATCTCATTGCCTTCTCCATGCTTTGTGTGTCCACGTCTAATCTTCCCCCTTTCTAAAAGGACAAAGAAAATGGAGGATGATAAGACATGCAGTGAAAATGGTTATTACTGGACTCCACAAAAGGGAGGAAGTCCGAGAATTTGGAGAATTCTATATTTTTCTATGTTATCTTTTTGTGTGTGTGTGTGAATGTAAAACTAAATTGTGAAACCAATAAAAATTATTATGAAATAAAGAAAGAAAGGGATAAAGAAATGGGAGGGAAGAGGAAAAAAGAAAACCCAAGACACCAGTTCTCTGTGGTTTTCTTATTATTTAGTTCCATCTATGCAAATTCTTGTTGTCTCAGAGATCTCTCCCACCCTAGATCAGATCGGGGGGCAGAGCTGCTCCTGTTGCAGAGTTGTACCCTCTGACATCCGAGGGTGACACTTGGAATTGGCAAAGGAGGAAGCTTGCTGGAGTTGCCCTCCTGCCTCACCAATATCCGTGGGTTGATTCTGGCCATCCTTGCCTCGGCCAAGGTAACCCCTTTCCCTGGAAATGCCTGCTGCTGCCCCAGACTGGATTTTGAAACAGCACAGTTGATAATGTCCAGGTCAGGGGTGGGTGGGTGGGGCAAGGCTGCTTCCCCAAATATACAGGCGAGCTCCAAAATCCAGTCTCCCAAATTGCTTCTGTTTAAGTCCATGGTGTTATGCTGTTGAGACATGACTTGCGGAGGTTCGGTTGCAGGGATTCATGCCTCGTCTTGTCACACCTGAGCACGCACTATATTTAATTAAGTTTCTTTGCAGGCCACAAAAAGAACCGAGGCTGTTAAAAGTGCCAAGGGTGGCGGGGATTACAATGTCCCGCAGCCGCTTCGTTAATTGAGGCAGGTGTTCATTTGCACCTAAAAATAAGCGCCAACATAAAAGGGTGTTAGATATTTGCTTTATATTATCGTTTATTACTATTTATGTATAGAGAGGAACTGAAGAGGAGCTGCCACCTCCCTTCCTAGATGGAGGCTTGAGAGCACAGCAAGGTATCAGTCAGGAATGCTTGGACACCATTGCACAGCATAAGTTTCAGACCCTCCAAGTGTCCCTATTTTCCAGGGACAGTATACAAATTGGCATAGGGATAGGTAGGTAGGGATGGGTGTGGTCGTCATATTGCTTGCTGTAAAAAAAACCTGACGTCTGATGTCTTCCTTAAACCACGGAATGCAGGGGCTTTTCCCTAGGCAACTGCTAGAAGGAAATAACATTTGTGGACTCTGTTACCAGTCTGTTACCTTCCAATCCCTCTCAGCGTTCAGATAGCATCTCTCCTGCTAGTACAGTGGTACCCGAGGTTAAGTACTTAATTCGTTCCGGAGGTCCATACTTAACCTGAAACTGTTCTTAACCTGAAGCACCACTTTAGCTAATGGGGCCTCCTGCTACTGCCGCGCCGCCTGAGCACAATTTCTGTTCTCATCCTGAAGCAAAGTTCTTAACCCGAAGCACTATTTCTGGGTTAGCGGAGTCTGTAACCTGAAGCGTCTGTAACCCGAGGTACCACTGTACAGTGGTACCTTGGGTTGCATACGCTTCAGGTTACATACGCTTCAGGTTACAGACTCCACTAACCCAGAAATAGTACCTCGGGTTAAGAACTTTGCTTCAGGATAAGAACAGAAATTGCGTGGCGGCAGCGCGGCGGCAGCAGGAGGCCCCATTAGCTAAAGTGGTGCTTCAGGTTAAGAACAGTTTCAGGTTAAGAACAGACTTCCGGAATGAATTAAGTACTTAACCCGAGGTACCACTGTACTAGCAAAGCAGTCCAGGAGGGGAAATCGCATAGATGGACTCACAAAGATGTGAAATATTATTATATAAGATACCTAGCTATTGTTGCAGCAGCGAACTAGATGAGGCCTTCGACTCATTATACATCTACAAGTTGCCAATCCTCTAGCCTTTACTCTTGAACCCACCAGGGATTTCTGAGCAGGGATTTGAATCCAGCTCTCGTCAAAGTTTCAACACTCCATGTACTAAAAGGAAGGAAATGTTTGATATTGTGACAGGTATGTTAAATAAAGGATTTTGAAATGAAGGCGCTTAAGAGAAATTTCCTTTCCGGTTTATTTATGTGTGCAGGGAATTATACCAAACACATTATACCAAATGTTCTGATCTGAGAGATGTTGTTTGCCGATGACGCAGTCTTGACAGCGCACTCCTGGGACGCAGAGACTCATCGACCGTTTTGCCCAAGCCTGCAGGGAGTTCAGCCTCACAATCAACCTGATGAAGGCCAACATCTTGGGTCAGGATGTCGCCAGCCCTCAGAGCACCAGCACTGGCGATCACACACTTGAGCTGGCAGATGATTTTGCCTACCTGGGCTCCACCATAGCCAGCCCCCTTTCCATCGACACTGAGCTGGACAAGAGCATTGGTAGGGCAGCCACAGCGATGGCTACCATTTTGTTGTCTTGGTTGAATTAGTCACTTGCATTTTATTCTGCGAACCGCTCAGGGGGGTCTTTGGATGGAGGGTGGCACATAAATGTAGTAAGTAAAATAGAGGGGAAACTCCCTGCCTCTTGAGACCAAGCAGGCGACTGTTGCGCTCTTTCCAGCAAGGGGTCAAAACATCCCTGTTTTACCAATAGTCCATCTGCCTCGGGCGATTTGCCTACTTAAGTTGACAGAATATGCGCAGCTTGCAGACTTAACATACAGAATAAGAGAACAAGACATGCATTTAGAGAAGTTTGGAAAACCGTTTATTGAATATATGGGAAATAATTGTGTACAGCTGAAAACGCTGGCAGCATTAAGATAAATTCAACAGTGTAAACAAGTTTCGATGGATGCAATAATGGAATACTGAATGGTATAGTTTTTGTAAAATATGCAGGGATTTATTATATGTAAAAGAAACCATGGAAAGAGAAGAAAGGAAGTCATCGATATCTTAAAGATGTAAAAATGAGTATTTTAAATGGTAAAACAGAAAACTTAATAAAAATTATATACAAAAAATAAAATCCCCGTTTTGACAAGCCTGCACAGATGCTTCAGAAAGCTGAGGTAAGTTTAATCTGTTTAACTTTTGTACCCTTTAAATTAATAATAATAATAATAATCCTTTGAATTATAATAAATTTAATAAAATTATTATTATTATTATTATTATTATTATTATTGCTTCCAACAAATAGGAAAGCATAATAGAGGCGGGCTGTGGATTCCCCCCTTCCCCCTGATTTTTGCCCTTTTTTTGTAAACCGCTTTGACTTTATTTTTAACCAAGCGGCGTACAAATGCAAATAAACAAATGAACACAGATGCTTCGGGAGCATCCTAGCAACGCTTCCGGAGGCACCTGGGTACTGGCAGCTTACTAGCCAGGCCACGGCCGTCCCCATTTCCCTCAGCCCCGCCCCCGGCCGCCCTCCAATCCGAGGCGACGGCGCTAGGCCCTTATTGGCCGGCTCCTCCCTCCTCCTCCTTCTCCTCCTCCCTCCCGCGCACGCGCAGCAACGGCCTCTTTCTCTTTCGCCGCTTTCCCCCTCCCCGCCGACGGAGAGCGCGAGCCGCGGTTGGTCGCGGTGACGTCGCGGGAACGCGGCGGAGGTCCGTTGGGTGTGTGTGTGTGCGCGCGCGCTCGGGAGCGAGCCTCCCTCACAAGACGAGAGCGGCGCGAGCCGCAGGAGGAGGAGAAGACCGTTTCCGTCCGTCCGCTCGCTCGCTCAGGCGGAGGCCGCTCGCCTCGACCCTCCGGCGCGTGAGGTACCTTCGCTGAGGAGGAGAAGCCGAAGAAGAAGCCGCCGCCGCTGTCCATGCGGCGCTGGGGAAGGGAGCCGAGGGCCGCGGCTGGCGGCCGGCGCCGACGCCCGGGAGTAAGTTGCTGAGGGGCGCCGAGGTATGAGGCGCTGGGGCCGCGCCGCTCTCCTCAGGAGAAGGAATGGACGCAGAAGGCCCAGTCCCGCGGTTTTGGGTCCCCGCAGAGCCCCGTCCGCCCTCCGTGTCTCCGTCTCCATCGCATCCGCGCGCGCCCTCCGTGCGACAGGTTGGGGGAAGGGGCGTGAGTGCGCGTGCGCGAAAGATGGAGCGCTGCGTGTGCGTGTTTTCGTGTGCACGTCTGAACGGCGAGCGGAGAGAGAGAAGAGAGTGGCGGGATGGAGTATCAGGTACGCTGGAGGGAGGCGGCGGCGAGGCTTGGCAATGCTACGCATCCGGCATTTCCACCTCCTTGCCAAGCCGCTTCTGGAAAGGAGGCTGGAGCTGAGTTCAAAACACCCCCCTCCCTCCTTTCTTGGACGTCGCCAGCGCTCTTCTTTTTCCCTCCCTTCCCCTCCAAATCCCCTGCAGTATTGAGGAGAGCGAGCAGATCCCTGGATCCCTCCTCACGGCTATATATTCCTCAGGCTTACGGGGTGGCTGAGAAGTTCTTGCACCCGAGCTGCAGACCTGTTTGGTGGTGGGTAGTTGGGGGGGGGATGACTGTGCATCTTATTTCTGCAAGCGGGAGACGGAGCCAACAGGTTTGTCCGGAGCGTTTAATGTGGCCGCCTCCGCCCCCCCTCCGATGCTGCAGAGTGTATCTGCCACAAAGGAAAGAGCTTGGCATCCCTTCCCTCCCCCCCCCCCCCGTGGAAGGGCTTTTTTGCATCGGGTTGTCATGCCGAAAACACATTATGGCATTGATGATCTCTTTGGCAAACAGCCATTTTTCTAAGCTGTATCAACTTCTGCTTTATACGCCAACACAGGCACCAAAGCTGGGGGGGGGGGTTGTTGTTTAAAATACGTTTCTCCCCTCTTGGGCTGTTAGCAGTAACGGAGCAGGTAGGTAGAAAGACATGGTATTTGTCTCACTGAGAATGATTATAGCACTGAATGGTTGAAAGGAAAACCACTGTATTGACCAGAATGATGGAAATTTACCATGATTAATTTCAGTAAGGTCCTTTATCAGTATGTGCACTATTATGAATTGTTTTGTTATTAATGCCTTGTTTCTTGAGTAGACCCTGGAAGGACTGTATGGAAGCTTCTTTGGGAAGGGAGTACCATTAGAAGGCAGCATTGAAATCTTTAAAATAAATAAATTGAAGGAGAAGCTTCAGGGCTTGTATTTTGAAGCTTGCTGTTATATATTTAGGGACTGGAAATAATTTATTTGACTACTAAGGTAGTTAGAGCTTTAAATATGGCTTTGCTACAGTCTGCTAGTATAGATATGAATTCTTTTTAAAGAATGTGAGTCCAGATCTGTTTAAAGCCTGCCCTCTAGTGCAGCCACTCTTACTCATTTAGGCTGCTGTGTTTATATAGCAGTTTTTGAGAATTCATAATAATAGATAATTGGTGTAGAAAATGAGAAAAGGCAAGAGTTTTGAAGTATGCATTTTCAATTCCTTTCCCAAGCTATAGAAAACACGTAGAAAGTCTCCACTAAGGAAACACACTGATGAGTATTAAAATTGGATAAGTTTTGCATCATTTGCCACTAATATTATTGCCCCATGGAGTAAGATGAATAGTGATGATGCATTGTCATTTTTCACATTGATAATTTCTCCCAGAAATGTACATTTTTGCTTTTTGTGTGACATATTCAATGGTTATCATACAGTATATAAAGAGAAGAAATGTAACCATGCATTTTGTACACTGCTTGTTTTTGTAGAGTACCTGATGAAGGTATTGAACTGGAAGAACTGGAACAGCTATTGGTTGAAATAACACCTGAATGGTTGAACAAATTCCTTTTAGTTCCCCAGATAAATATATGCCAATATAGCTTTAATGATGTAGAATTTTGTTTAATAGAAGATTTAGAGCCACAGTTAACTTTACTGAAATGTTTAGGCAACCAGGTCATACTTCCTAATTAAATCTACTGACTAGAAGAAAAAAAAGGCACCCATCACTGATCTTTTAAAGGGATAAGTAGAGATTGCAATAATGTCCTTTCTTTGAGTCTGTCTGGAATGCTCAGAAATCACTTTTTGACAAGGGGCTTTGTATTCTGATAATTCCACACTGGAATAATTCTGCACTGGAATTTAATTTTATCAGCTTGCACCTCTGGCCTTCCAGTGCTCTAGAAACAATTTCCGTATGTCTGTTTGCACCACTATTTCATACCTTACTCTCTGTTGTGCCTGATGTCACCTTTGTATCTTTCGTTGCTTATTTCACACAAGCGCAAGAGAGAGGTACCTTCATGGTATTCTTTCTCCCCATTCCCAAATTCATTTCACAATTCTGTTTCCCATTGTTTCTCCATCCTGCATTATTGGGGTTGAATACTTAAGTTATTAGAGAGACTTTATGGGGCAGGTCATTTGTCTTCCGCCTTTCTGTGAAATGATGGTGAGTAAGATGTACAAGGTCATATTGTGCACAATAAATGAATGCCTTAACAAGCACTTAAGGTGCCTAATAATGTTTGACACACACATGCCTTTGTGTATTTTTTATTAACATTGAAATTGCATAAAACCTGTAGAGCAGGCTTCTAATTAAGCAGTTGCCTGTGGTAAACTTCCAAGTGACGGGGTAAGATGTGCTTCTTCCGAAACCTTTGTGCTACTGCTTGTCCCCTATGCACACTGCTGTAATACAGTGCTTTGTTATCCTACTTGTTGAAACTTAGGACTTCACCAAGTGACTTTCTGGTCCCCCTTCTTCTTTCTCACAATTAAGGAAGAGGGCAATACTTTTAACCCACCTTTTAAAGACCTGATTTTGTTGGTGTACCTGTACAATTGCACACTTGTTTTGTGGAAATAGCCAGCTCCGTGTATAAATGTAATGCAAAAATTCATTCAATACAGCATATTGGATTTTCTGTATGAAGTGCTTTGAAGACACTTTAAATGGGTCAAGGCTTGGGAGCAGGACAATAGAAGATGACAATAGTTTTGAGATTTTCTTTCTTTAATAGTTCAATTCACGCAGTTCATCTAGATAATGTCACAACAAAATGTGGGGTGGATCCAGTTAGTGAATTCATGGTTTGAAACAACAGTCTAAAACAGATGTGATGCAGGAATTCTGTGGTTGGAATCTTTGGCTTTATTTAAAAAGACTCAATGGGGATTTGGATCAGGGTTGTGACACTTGAGTTGTGTGTTTAACCCTTTCCTCTGTATCATTTGACCCCTATCTGAATTGACCCCTTGGTTCTTTATCCCTGTGGGGTGAATTGGCAGGTACTTTAGGAGGGGAAGCCAGATGAAGAAAAAGTGTAGATGGAAAACAGGAGTCCATCCCGCATCACTGCAAGTCAAGATCAAAGTCCCTTCTCCCCCCCCATGACTGTTGTTAATACTTTGTAAAACTATGAGAGATCCTAACCATATATTTCCCATGCCGCATCTGTTGCTGACATCTTACTAAGAATTTTGAGTAATGGCAGGAATAAGTTTTACATGGTAGATATACAGAACTTGCCACACATCATGAAGATGCTATCCATTGTGTGTTTGCAGCTGATTATTTAGCCTGATTCTGCAGTGAGAGAATACTCAAAACTTTATTATCATTCACAATATATTAGAAAAAGAAATGAAATGAAATGTGATTAATAAAGGCAAAAATGCCATTATAAGAAAAATTTTGTGCCAGTTGTACAAATACAAGTTATTGGATCACAATTTTCTACTAGTCTACCTGCCCATGTATACAAGTGTAAGCAGCTTGTAGCTCTTGTAAATGACTCAATTTCTACCAACTTGCAAAAAAGCTTCCCTTTCTGTTTATCTAGAGGCAGTTATTATGCACCATAGGTGGGTGTAGTAGTGGTATATCTTAAGATTAGAAAATGTGCCAGAACTAAGAACTGTTAATCTTGCAAATTTTCTATCTTTGGTTGATTACTGCTCCTTTTTGGAACTGCCACGCAAAGCAACTGTAATATTTAAACCTAATATTGCATCAACTGAAGTCAGGCACCATGTCCCATGAATCCTCAAAGCATTAAAACAGTACTTAGAAGACAGCAATATAGAAAACCACTGTAGGTGTATTAAACTTTAAAGGTTTGTACAGGTTGAGTGTTGGGATAAGCTCCTGAATTCATCCATTATAGCTGCTACTCAGGATGTCAACATTAGACTCACTCTCTTTTTATTGGTCCATATGAACTTTGGGGTGGTAATCTATGCGCCTAATACATACCACTGATTTCTGTGAGATTTATGCACATATTTGATTGTATGTTAGCCATATAATTCCTGAAGGAGAACTTAAGTATTTTTTCCCCCTTAGGGAATAAGGGAAGAAGAATGCGAATCTTTCCTCAGAACTGGATATGGAAGTATCAGCAGATGAATCTATGGAAAACATGAGGAAAAATTGAAACTACATGAGCAAAGCATAGATAAGATGATACCTTTGGAGAGGGCAGTGCCATGGTTGGTAGATTTCATTTCTGATTTATTAAAATGTAGTTTTTTTAAAAATTGCTTCACTCCAGTGCTTGTGAAATTCCTCTGGAGGTATTGCAGTTATATCATGATTTCCAAGCAGTTTTGCTAGTGTAACAATTAGTATTATGCTTTAAATTGATTTTACAAAATGTGCACAATGGATTGATTTGGATTTTTTGTTAAGGCATGTTTTAGGCTTATATGAGAGCAAACTGAAATACACCTTCAGTTTCATAACACACCCCTTCTCTAGTGAGGCTGTGTGAAGCAGTATGGATGCATTCACTTCTATTTTAGATTAGCTGCAACTTGTTGTTGTGTCTGAACTTGAATAAACTGTACCTTGACTACGGTTTGTTGAAACAAACCAACCTCAAACCAGTTTATTAAACTGGCTTGTTTCAACTAACTATAGTTTAGGTTAGCGTTCAGATGGCCTGCTAAACTGTTATATAAAACAGTAACTCCTGATCTCTTCATGGCCATGCTAAACGGGGAAGTATGCAGATTTGAGGCTAGCTGTAGCTTATTCTCATAATGGTAAACCATGGTTTCACATTGTGTCTGAATGCAGTCCATATGTCATGAAATGCATGTGCATGTTTTTTGGCTGCTCCCTTAATACATGCAACTGTGATCCTTTCCTGATTGCTGAGCTCTTGTATTGTAATGAGGAATTAGTAAAGAAAGCATGCATATATACTTTTAAATAAAAATGTACCATGAATGAATTTTATATTCTGGTATTAAGAATACAAAAAAAGAGATTTCCCCCCAGATGATATCCCTGCATTAGCAGGTTAAGGGTGCTTACAGTGGTTGGGAACAAGCATTTTCTGTGGAGAGACTCTGCATTTCCATGGAGTTCTGAAAGTTGTACACTAGCATATTAGAAACATGGAATTATAGAATTCGAAGGAACACTGGGAATGATTTGGAAAAGTGAGGTTAGAGTTTTAAATGCAATGCCATTAATTGCTACTGATAGTGATGTTGAGGACATTCATTGAAAAAAAAGTGTTTTTAAATAAGCCTGGAAAACTGAATGACTGCCAGCAGAACTAGCCAATACTACTTGTGACGGTTATACACTCTAGACATGAGTGTGGCCCACACACTCTGTACATTGGAAAGTCGCATTGTGGTGTTTCATTACCAAGGGGGGCCTTGTACAGCATTGTAAAATGATTACCATGGACAGACAGATGCTGGCTCTTGCAGAAATATATTAGAGTTATAGTTAGCCATGCAACGTCAAGAGTCATTTTTTAGTGAAATCACTTTTGATGTAGCTGCTGTGCTTGGAAAAACTAGAGTTAGTTTCTTCCAAGGTTTTCTCAGATGTTGAAGTATACTTAAATTCTTGAAGTATAAGTACCTATTGTTTGGTTGGAAGATACCCAAAGTTTCATACATCTTAATGCATGGATGAACTATATTTTCCCATTTCCAATCAGATGGCACTAGCCCTATAGAGCGATCATTATTTTCCTCCAACTCTCAGCATTAGAGCTTTCCTAAAACTTCATTTGCACATTGCCTGTAGCATCACCTCCATATAATGCAATGAATTATATGATTGCATATCATACTGATGACATTTTTACTTTGCAGATGCTTCACTAGCTAGCATAGTACATAACCACATGGGTCAAGCATGTAGATGTTGCTTGAAGCAACTATTGAGGTGGTGGTAACTACAGGGTATTTTTTATTTTGAATGGTCTAATTGTATGTTAGGTACCACAGATCTTAATGTTATGCTGCCCTCATTGAATAATGAATGGCAATACTGTATGTGAATAATGTCTTTGCTTAGATTAGCTTACAACAGTTTCATCATTCTTCCCATTTAATGCATATTTTAGGCACAGGCAGTCTCAGGAAGAATTACTTTTTTTGTATTCTTTTTTTCTTCATTCCTGAAATAAATTTGTACTTGTGTACTGAACTAACTACTCTGAAGTGCTTTGCAAAACTCTACAGCATATCTTATACATTTTTAGAGTTTAGACACATCTCAATTACCTATTCCAATACTCCTTCAAGAAAGTATTTTTAAACCTGTTTTTTGGACCAAAGGCCAGCTTTTAGAGTAGGTGAAATCTTATTCTTCTTATCTTAAGTAAATGTATATTCTATAAAAAATATTCTTTTTGACTTCTAGGTACGTTTGGCAGTGAAAATGGGTTGTGCATCTGTTTCAAACACTTTCATATGAGAAGACACCATTTTTAAAAAGTTTCAGCATTACTACTTCAAGCAGTATGGCTGGTTTCAAGCGAGGGTATGATGGAAAAATTGCTGGACTGTATGATTTGGATAAAACCTTGGGGAGAGGGCATTTTGCTGTGGTCAAACTTGCCAGACACGTTTTTACAGGTGAAAAAGTAGCGGTGAAAGTTATTGACAAGACCAAGCTAGATACTCTAGCAACAGGACATCTATTCCAAGAAGTTAGATGCATGAAACTAGTGCAGCATCCTAATATTGTTCGCCTGTATGAAGTTATTGACACCCAGACCAAACTTTACCTAATCTTGGAACTTGGTGATGGAGGAGATATGTTTGATTACATCATGAAACACGAAGAAGGGCTTAACGAAGATCTGGCAAAGAAGTACTTTGCTCAGATTGTTCATGCTATATCCTACTGCCATAAACTGCATGTAGTTCACAGAGACTTAAAACCGGAGAATGTTGTCTTCTTTGAAAAACAAGGACTTGTGAAATTGACTGATTTTGGCTTCAGCAACAAATTCCAGCCTGGGAAAAAACTCACAACAAGTTGTGGTTCTCTTGCATATTCTGCTCCAGAAATTCTACTTGGTGATGAGTATGATGCACCTGCAGTAGGTAAGTCAATGAATTCAGAGCAAACTAAAGTCACTTTTATTGCATAAATTATTTTGTTTTGGAGCAAGCTGCCATTGGAAGTAAATATTTAGAAATACAGTAGGAAGATGAAAGTCCGCAAAGGTCCCTATGTAGCTCTTCATTATGCTATTTATGTTTTAACATACTATCTAGTCCAGTGCCTTCTAGTTTGGAGTTGATGCAGTTAGGCTTGTTGGTATTTTTTTTTTTATTGGTTAGGAGTATTTGTGCATCCTTGATAATGAACATGGTTTGTTTGGAGGAATTTACACTAGAAATACAAAGTGTCCAAAGGTTTCCAGCTGGAACTAAGAGATCTAAATTATGACAAGCTATAATAAGTAAGGGACGCGGGTGGCGCTGTGGGTAAAACCTCAGCGCCTAGGACTTGCCGATCGCATGGTTGGCGGTTCGAATCCCCGCGGCGGGGTGCGCTCCCGTCGTTCGGTCCCAGCGCCTGCCAACCTAGCAGTTTGAAAGCACCTCTGGGTGCAAGTAGATAAATAGGGGCCGCTTACCAGCGGGAAGGTAAACGGCGTTCCGTGTGCTGCGCTGGCTCACCAGATGCAGCTTGTCACGCTGGCCACGAGACCCGGAAGTGTCTGCGGACAGCGCTGGCTCCTGGCCTATAGAGTGAGATGAGCGCACAACCCTAGAGTCTGGCAAGACTGGCCCGAACGGGCAGGGGTACCTTTACCTTTATACTAAAGGAAGGGCTGTGGTTTAGTGGTAGAGCCCATGCATGAAAATCTCCCAGGTTCAATCCTTAGCATCTCCAGATAGGGCTGGAAAAAATGCCCGTAAGTCAGTGTAGACCATATTGAGCCTGATGGATCAATTGTTCTGTGTTCTTATTCATGGCTGCACTATGTTCTTATTAATGGATGCACTCCGATGTACAAGGAGTTCCTGAAAAAGCAGAGTATTTCTCATGTATTTATCAGTGAAGTCAGCTCTCTGTTTGCATTAGAACCCCAGAATGCTATGGAATGTGCTGACAGCATGTGAATACTGACAGCAATTTATCAAGTGGTGTACATACAGCCACATTTGCTCTCATGATGCAGAGAATTGCCACATCTCTGCATTTCCTATCAGTATTAGGAACATAGTAAGGCTTTCTTGTTCATAGCAGTAGCACAGAGTGTTTGGTAAATGGTCTCCTGTATTCATCCAGTGTCTTCTCAAATGTTTGTTTGTTTCCCCCTCAAACTGCGATATTTCCTTTTATGAACAGGATAACATCAGATACACGAGGATGATACTGGACAGCTGTAATCATTTCAGTGGATGCAAGAATTGGCAGTTAATGCCTGCAGGGAGTGTATTCTCAAGTTATCACAATCTGTTGGGCACCCTATAGTTGTAACGTAGGAGTGTATTTATAAGTCTTGTGTTATATGAAGAAAATACATTAAGCAGGGTGCCCAAGGCAGGGTTGTTTCTGACAAGTACATGTCCATTTGATGTCACTAAATGTGTTTGCCTAAGATACACAAGAGGTGCTTCAGATCTCTGCTAGTGACTTTAGAAAACAGATGTTGATCAGGCCTGAAAACAAACCAGAATACCACCGGGGGGGGGGGGATTGTACATCTGACATTCAGTGTCCTTCACGTGGCTATGCAATAGGCTAATTTCATATAGTAACTGAATTATATTAGATAATTGTTTTTTTTCTAATTGATGTTTTCCTAGTATTTCTCAGCTAACTTCTGAAGATGCAAGAAATGGATAGGCTTCCTGAAATTCTGTTTGTTTGTTTTTTGTTCCTATTGCTGTCAGTGTGTGGGTTGGCAGGAGCCAACTAGAGAAATGTAAATGAAATTAAGCACAGTGATGAAACGAAGCATAGTTCAATATAGATGCCCATTGACTTCTTGCTGGACCTGTATTGGGAGATTCATGAGAAACTAATTTGAACATTTCCAAGTTAATTGCGTGTTTCTGTGCACATGCATGCAGAAAATGTAGATGAGCAGCATATCAATATTTCTTCATAAAAACATTTATGATAAATGCTGGATTTGTGAATATTTAACTTGCCTGTATAAATCCCAAACAGGACTTACCGTACTTGCTAGAAAAGGAAATATCAGTTGAGTCATGACGTGTTACAGCTTGATTGAATAAGGATTAAGATACATTTAAGGCTTTTCCTTTTAGATATTTCTGCTGGTGCATGTCTGTGTCAGCATTTAGTGTTACATTGTTTAAAACAGTGTAGCCCCTATGTACATGAGAGAATTCGTTCCAGAGGTCCGTTCTTAACCTGAAACTGTTCTTAACCTGAGGTACCACTTTAGCTAATGGGGCCTCCTGCTGCTGCCGCGCGATTTCTGTTCTCATCCTGAAGCAAAGTTCTTAACACAAGGTACTATTTCTGGGTTAGCGGAGTCCGTAACCTGAAGTGTCTGTAACCTGAGGTACCACTGTATGTGGGGAAAGTACAGTACAACCGATGGCTCTTTCCGGTTTTATCCTTGTGGAGGCAGTGGTGTGAACAGAGTACATTTTACAGCAAACAGTGTTGGGACATATTTATCAGAGCTTCTGGTTAGATGAATGTGGGATGCCTCCAAATAGAAATATATTTACTTTTCTCTAGAACCAGAGAGTAAAAACATATAAGGGATGTATGTAGGCGTGTTGATCTGTTAGAAGAAAATATAAAAATCACAGTAACATAATAGGACCAATTAAAATGTCTCAAAACAGTAAACAAACTTTTGTGTTTTCCTGGGGGAAGGGGAGAGATAACTGGACATGTTGGAGCCCAAAAGACTGCAGTTTGTAAGATTCTTTAAATGAAACACCAATGGCATAGAAGCAGATTAGTACCTTCTAGATGTAAAATGATTTCTGGATGCAGAGGCTGCTGGCACAAACACGAGTGGCTGTTCCCCCATATTTTGGAGATATAAAATCTGACGGTTACTCAAATCTTTCTCCCACAAAGATGGAAACCGAGGTCCCTTGTGAGGGAGAGAGCCGACATACATTTTACATTGGTAAAGATTGATAGAAGCCAATTTGGGTAATAAACATAGTGATTAGAAGCCATTACCTTTTATCTGAAGAGGAGACTTGGGTTTGGGAGTTATGTGCTTCTGCTTCCAATTTTGGATGCTTTTGAATCATTTGCTTAACATCAGCCTCAAGAGCCAAGCCATTTGCTTAATTTTCAGCCTCAAAGTTTATCACTATTTTTTTCTATTCTAGTTGCTCCTTATTAAGGCATTGCCCTGCTGTAAATTTTGAACTTAGGAAGGGTGAGGCACCTGCATGAACTGTTTATAATTGGGTGTGTAAATTATGCAGGAAGAATTTAGGTGTTTTAATTATATCTTAGAGTAATTTACTAAGTTGACTAGTTAGCTAGATGTCTAACACTCTAAATTTCCACATGGAAATGGTTATTCTGCTCTTGTCTCAGGCTCTTTCTTCAGTAGTAAAGGAATAAAAGTTACCAGTTACTCCAGTTTGACTCCATCCAGTTTTCCTCTTGCTGTGTTGTAGCATTATTCATTCTACTTTTAGTCTCTAAGGGCATTGGTCTTCAACTGATAGATCATTGTGTGGTTGAAGACCAATGCCCTTAGAGACTAAAACTAAAATGAAAATAATGCTACAACACAGCAAGAGGAAACAGGGATGGAGCTAAGAGTGCATTGTAAGGGTGCAGCTTCATTTGTTTGTTTTTAAGAAAAATAGAAGAGGAAAAAGAATAGAGATGCTTATATGGTAGCAAATTAGAAGTTGATTTTTTAAAAAATAGATGTGGCTTCAAATTTTGAAAATTTGATGATTACTTTTTACCAGGTAGTAAAAAAAAGGTAGTTTTCTCTTTTGGAAGGATTGACTTGTGGGTTGTTTAAAAAGACATTGCATTGCCTTTCAGCCTTACCTCATACAGCTATGTTACTTCGTATATCTTCTATATCAGCACTTGGAACACTTATGGAATGGGGGTAGATGTAGAATGATTTTTGCGGGGGGGTATCTTGGTCATTTCCTTGAGAGGAGGTAGGACATATCAGTACCTAGAGTTAAATGTTTGTACACTTCTGCAAATAAATACTTTTTATTAGTACATTGGCTCTACATCAAGTAGTCAATCACTGTACTAATCAACAAACCATAAATGGAAGTTTAAGAGTTCAAACATAGTTTATTGAAAGCCAGAGAGATAACAGCAAGAGTCTATCTCTCTCTCTCTCTCTCTCTCTCTCTCTCACACACACACACACACACACAGCATTCTAAGTGAGCTCCAAATATGAGCCTTTACAATTGTGTGATGGTCTTCTGTAATATTCTTTGAGAAAAACAGAACCTTTAGAACTATGTACCATATTTTCCCATCTATAAGATGCTCCCTAATTTTTGACATTATTTTTTAGGGGGAAAACCTAGTCTTATACATGGAAAAATACGGTATTTATTGGGATTTTTTTACCCACAGTGCCTAGGACTTGCCGATCGCATGGTCGGCAGTTTGAACCCCCACGGCGGGGTGAGCTCCCATCTTTCGGTCCCAGCTCCTGCCCACCTAGCAGTTCGAAAGCACCCCTAAGTGCAAGTAGATAAATAGGTACCGCTTTATAGCGGGAAGGTAAACGGCGTTTCCGTGTGCTGCGTTGGTGCTGGCTCGCCAGAGCAGCTTCGTCACGCTGGCCACGTGACCCGGAAGTGTCTTCGGACGAGGGACTTCCGGCGAGCCGCGATCCCAGCACAAGCAAGGGCTTGCACCGCGTGGTGAAGCCCGAGCTATTCTGAAGGATTGGGGCGACTCCAGGGCGCGGAGACCCCTCAAACTCTTTGGAAGGGTGTTCAAAGAGTCTAGTTCCCAGCACGACCGGAGAAAGGATCGAACCGGCTACCAGGTAACCCCGAGAGAGGTGAAGAGAGTAGCGGAAAGATTCAGCGGGTCCGGGGAGCCATTTTCTTACCTTCAGATAGCGAAGCCCGGCGCTTGC